TCAAAACTTAGTTTATGTTTGAAACATAATTGATTATTTTGAAATTTATCTCTTTCCAGCAGTCTTTATTAGACATAAGGCTTCAAAAATCTTCACGTATTTTGATATCGGACGTCTGGAGATCAATACGTTTTCGGGAGACAGAAGACATCATGGTAAGTCTGTATTCCCATAAATTTGTATCCTATTTTACCTTTCCAAAAATTGTTTTTATCACTGTATGTCTCGCCAAATTTTTTCGAGGTTTAAACTGGTTTACACGAAAGATTACTACATGACCCTTTCAACCCGTGTCTTGTCTAGACAGACAATTATCTAAATCGGTCATAGACAGATAAATGACTCATTTGATGATTGGAATCCTGGTCAAATTTTAGGCTAATGGGGCCAGCTTGTTTTACCATTGAGTGTGCTTTTTATTACTCGTTCGCTAACTGTTTAAAATATGCTCTTGGTTTCGCTAATTCCACGGTTATCGTATAGAATGTTTTCAGAGCGAAAACAATAGAATTAAGCTCGAGGGATTTCAAATGAGTTTGCTATCTGTCATCCGTCGAAAGAACTCACTAGCGGTGATTTCGTGCTCACCAATATCCATTTTACCTTTGTGAAATACAAATTTTCTTTACTATTTTACATAGCATGGTAGAGTTTGTCGATCTTTCATACTTGGTGATAAATCATATACGCCGAACATTATCAAAAAACGAAAACACTTGAAGGCAACATGAGTCAGTGAATATCATGATCTTTTTTACGAAATTAGCAAAATCAGAGTGAGGGAAAAAGTGGGCAATTTTTCGTCCCATTTTCAAGAAACGGATCTGGTCCTCTTTTTTCATGACCTCTGCTTTGACCAAACCATATTGAACTTCCGATATTTTGTGTGCTGTGCTCATTTCTGGTATAAAAGTGACCAGGGGGGAGTTTGCGGGGGGGGGGGGNGGCTGGCGGATGGTATCCAATTTATTGATCCACTACTTACCGTTTGTTGATCTAACAGTGTTCTGTAAACAAACTCGATTTATTTCATCTCTCATTACAAAAATTAAGTTTTGAATTCCTTCCAATCTGTCAATCTATTTTATTCACATCAGGCAGGTCTGTTCGGAGAAGAATCCCTCATCTACCTTGTCCTCCTCCGGTCTCACCTCACGCGGTTCACGCTGCTCTTCTGATCCAATCACTCAGCTACATGCAGGCAAAAAACACAATTTTAATTTGTCGCTCAATAATCAAAACATCTAAAGCGTTCTTTGTTCATGATACGCCGTCCGATTTTCAGAGCGTGTTCAGTACTCCTTCCTTCAGTACTCCTTCCTTCAGTACTCCTTCCTTTCAGTACTCCTTCCTTTCAGTACTCCTTCCTTTCAGTACTCCTTCCTTCAGTACTCCTTCCACACTACAATATTCTCATTTGTATCCTGCCATTCAATCGACTACTGAAAAGAGATCATTACTTTTTCCCCGAGTTTGTCAGCGGCAAATTTATTTATTTATTTATTTATTTTTTACTGTCTAGAGTGCTTGGAATGAGTAAGCCTGGTCAGAATTGTTTCGATCTTTGCATATCAGGTTGCGGATTCGGGTTGCTTCTTTTTAACTTCGACATCCACTCAGAAACTTCAGAACTTTCGACTTCACGGTTAAATAAGCACCACCTGATTGGTTATACTTTCTCTCTCTCGCTCTCTCCCTCTCCATTATCCCACAATGATGCGTCCATGTCCCACGCTATGAGTGAGTTCGCAGTCATGTGATTTCTTTGTGCATGATAATGCTACCCCTCTTTGCATTTTGATAAAAATATTAAATGTCTTTTTACTTCTTTTTTTATTTATTGAGTATGATAATGTACAGTCGACTTTTAGGAAGGAGGTCGTAGCCATAGAAAAGCTGTCTGGGAAAATACAGAATAGGTGTTGCCATCTTTCCTTGCAAACGATGTATAAATTTGAATCCTCTCTGGGTCATACGCTCATGCGATCCAAAGTGAGACCAACACAGGCTATTTTCCTTCTTACATCACGTAAAGCCAGAAGTTTACTATCTAAAAGAATCGATACCATGAAACAAAAACACTTTGGAATATATCTTTTCTGAACTTTGATCCTTCATAATTCTATAATTAAAAATCTACAGTGTGTTGACTTGATGATATTTTTCGGTTTCACCAATCAAACATCATTATGTTTATTTAGATAACAGGGGTAAAAAATGACAACAAACAGCCCTACGTTCCAAACACCTCCGTCCTCATTAGTCATTTAACTATCTAATCTGAACTGAGCTAAGCTGAGCGGTTGAAGACAACTCTTTTCATATTATCACTCAACTTCTCTGTAGTCACTGGCATCTTCCGGATTATATTTATTCCACTGCAGAAAATTCTGCACTTTTTCGCAGATAAACTTACCTGCTTTTTTATTTTAACGGTTAGAGATGGTTGATTTGTTCGCACGATGATCGAAAACTCAAACCTGATTCGTTCATCCAGACCAAATCTGTATTATCTTCCATTTTGCAATGATTGTCAACTGTGAGTTGTTTCTAACAAGAGGTCGAAACAGAACGGTCAGCTTTCCGTACCGGATACGCAAACATTTCAGGGAGTGCGTAAAGTTGTGATCACCTATTGCCATTCGACACAGTTTAATCGAATACAAAGACAAGTGAATCGCAATTGAAATTTTTCTCAACAATGTGTTCCCAGTTTAGTGAATCCCCGAACAGATCATTAGGTACTGGGTCATATCAATTAGAACAAAGTGAAAACTTAGCTGTTACCATGACCATAAGATTGATTTTCCTATGTGACATCTTTCACATTCTCCGCTTTTCCTGATTTACTATCTTTTACTAACACTTACTAACACACCTGGTTTATTCATCCTTGAGCAGCACCTCTAATATGGTGTCCACATCACACAGGTATTTATTTATCGTGATCCGATAGCTTGTTGTCAACTGAACATTTTGAGTGCATTTCAATGTCAGAAAAACGTATGAAATCGCACTTGATCCAATGGAATCCGTGTTATTTGAGGAAATCACTGCCCCAGTGGAATTTACTCACTAAGGGCCTAGACTGAATCCACTCGTGCGATGGATCATCCCAATATTCACCTATGAGTATGGTGACCGATTTAACGATTCATCTTGATGTGATTCGCTTCGTTATCCGGCCGACAGAGGTCAATTACCGCCGGGTTTGTTCATTCACGTCTACGGCGCACATTCGATCAACTACCACGGGCATAGCGTTTCAGGTTGGGCTGGGCGCGGGCGGAGGTACGAACAACCAAACCCAACCCACAAAAACTTTCTTCCTCACTCGGTAACTCACTCAAAAAGTACCTTTGTTTGTTTACAGGGAGGTGAGTTCATTCGGACCGGACGGGGTTTAGACAGACCTGGTCCAACTGGTGACGTTTGACGGCTAAAAAGCCAATCAACTTGTGGAGTTCCCAATGGAGTGCGATTGGTTGGATTCACTTGAAGTTGAAAAGGTATAGATGAAGCCAGCTCTGCGAACAAATGCAGTGTGATAGAGCATCCTATTGTGCCTATTCATCACATTGGATCTTTGTATCTCCTGTCGAATGATGGCGAAACAGGACTATCCCCAATCGGGTAGCTTCCAACTCCCTCAGTCAAAGTCAAAGTTTTACTATGGGAAATGCTTACAAACGGTAGCTTTTCTTGTCCCATTCCAATGCGACACTGTATGGACATCGTTTACCGCGAAACCAAATGTTAAAAAACTATTTCAAAAAAATGGAAAATCGGCGCCAATCGGGAGACGAAGAACGCACTAAAAATTTAAGGGCATTGGACAGCTGTTTCACCCTGGATGCCAGTGCCGGCATGTACAAAGAGTGTTGCTCCGATTAAGTACGTAAATGGGAGTTGTGCTCTATCATGTGTGAAAATGTGTAAAATGATCAGCTTCACGAATGTCAAGTGGACGGTATACTTGTGTTTGACCTGTGGGATCCTGGGTCTGATCCCCAGTTGGGTGGTAGGAGTTGCACTGTTTGTGAAACCAAATCTGGTCGAACTAGAGGATGATGTTTTAGTTAACGTTTCATCTACTCGGTATAAGATAAAGTTCAAATGATAATCAAACCCTTCACTACCCTCATGAAACTTCAGTAATATTCGAAATCTATGAAAATGCTTGTTGTTGGAATTGGGCACGTGGCGATGTGCAACTCCGTTCAAGGCCACTACTTCCTCAAGAACACCATTTTGTTGGAGGAGAAATCATAAACGAACATCTATTTGTGCACGAACAAATCTGCATTCACTGGGCAAACAGGTTTACACGGTAACCATGTCAAATGTGGTACACTGTTTCATGGGTAACAGACAGATTGCTTCACGCTGATCTGATTCAAAGAAAAAACAGTCTGCCTCAAATATGTACATATGTAGAGAAAAAGGGCACAATAAAAATAGTAAAAAAAGGCAACCAGTCAAGAAAAGCGCTTGCTTGTTGGTTTGCTATCATAACTATCCCAAATAATCTCTTATTTACACGATCGTAAAGATTCTCAAAGTACACGTGGCCGCGTCAATTCTGAACGATTGGAAAAGTTTGTGTGTGTACATCTGTCTGTACAATAATTTTGGGGGAAAAACGTGATACGGGAATGAAATCTGGATTGCGAATGTGAAAAGAAAACGGGATATAGAACTGATGGTCAGGTTTGGGTAGACGGATGAGGAAATCCGATCGGTCAACAACACTCTCCCCTCAGTGCTGGTCAGTTGATGCAGATAACCAGCTGAACGGATTGAATGAAATTGAAATATTCGTCATCTCTTCCTTCTATCCACGTGGCAGGTTGATTGTCCTAATCATAATATATTAGGGCTACATACACAAGTATGCAGTTATTATTCTTACTAGAATGGAAGGCAAGAGATTTATTTGTATGCCTACCCAATGAAGTCGGTAATGTGAATTGACGGGTAAATAAAAATATGCACTGTAGTCATACGTAAGGTGGGGGAAGGCCATTGGAAGGTGACTCAGGTAGGGAACAGTGAAGACACATATCCAAACACGGTTGAGGAGCTTCCTGCTGAGGGGTTTGTGAACTGGGTGGTGTCACTTGGCTCTGTGACGGTTGCGGAAGCTCTTCAGAGGTGGGTGTTCCCGTTTCCGGTGGAGTGTACGGCGGTGCAGCTTCTTCCAGGTCAGAAGCAATAGTTTCCTCGAACGAGGGCGGAAGCGTTTGTTGAGTACATTGCTCGTAGGTGGGTAGCGTGGGTGAATTGGCTGAGGGAATGGCTGCGAGGGGCAAATAGAACAGAACATACCAGAACAGGATTGGTGTCAACGAGACATAGATTCAACCCGGTCACCAAAACGAATTCATATATTGAAGGTTGCAGACACAATGTTTAGTTAAAAACGGGAACGCTAGAAGGTTGCAGCACAACATCAGGATTTTCGAAGTATGGAACGCCATCAAAAGTCTAACCAATGCGCTTAGTCGGCGCGAATCACGGTGGAATAAATACACGTCGTGTTCTGATGAGAGAATGTTTATCGAGCGAGGTTTGGCCAATCCGAATTTTTCATTCGTGTGAGTAGCTTTGGATGAGCTCATCGATCAAGTTCCACAATGGGACCAATGAGCGCTGCGATTATCGCATCGGGTATGTATATCCGTTTCTCGGCCCCAATAGGTGCCAGTTTATGATACTTTCACAATTCACTTTATCTCGTTAAGTGATAAAATTTATGAAATTAAAAGGTGAGCACCTGTGATTTTTTGGAAGTAACAACAGCACTCAAGAACATCAACAGTACCTGGTGCCTCTTAACAAGTGAATCGGCTAATCCAAGTTTGCCAGTCTAATAAAAACAATTTTCTTTGTTGTTGGTGGTGGTGGTGGTTTGTACTTGCAGTTAATAGAACAACATACTTGTTGCTCCTCTTTATCCAGTAAAAAGACGGTTGCCCCATTATTAGAAACCAAAAATGAACTGTAAAAATTAGACAAAGGTTTTGTGCTATTATTTTCATTTCTAAGAAAGTTGGTTTGTTTAAATGTGCACAAAAACGTGATGACCGTCCGTCAACCGTTTTGAATTAGCACTACCATCTTATTTTCCATTACTTTTATGCTACTTATATATTGGAAGTAGGCTGTTATATAATTCATAAATATTGAGTGAAAAGTGAATCGCTATCGACGGACTGCACAACTCTTGGTGTTGTAACGCAAAGCCGACTCCACTGCATGTGATGCGTTTTATTTTTGATCTATATAGAAACAGTAGCAGCCCATTCGCGTAGTTTGTTGCTAGTAAGTTGTGAAACTTGCAGGACGAAAAATATCGAACCGAGTCATTTGATCGCCGCTATCAGCCAAGTGTTATTGTTATGTATCCTAGTATGACGAAGAGGAGAGTAACAAAGGCGATAGTCACAAAATCAAGCTATTCAAGTTATGAGAAGCTTTCAGCTAATCCCAGAGGTTTAGAATGGTGAATGACATAGATACCCAAGAGAATAAAGTAAGTGGGATAGTTAAACAGGCGACAATGAAGCTGTCGACGACTTCATTTTCGCAATATGGCGGATTTGGCCAACTTCGTTCTCCCCACTTTTGGTGGCGCTTTAGAGAGCATGATAGTCATTTACTAATGTTAGAGGAATACATATTTGCAGATAGCGCAAAATCCATCCAATCGGACTGAGCGCAACGCTTGCACAGTTTGTCCTTCTTGGATAACGGATCAAAGAACTCAATCCACAGTGGGAGTGGAGCCTTGTCAAGCTCGATCGTTGCACATCTGATAGAGACAGGACACTTGGTTGACATGCACTCGGCATTTAGAATCATTTATCGAGTCTCACCACACCCCTCGAGAGTAATATGGTTTCGGACGTTAGCAACCGCAGAGGCGATTAGCATCCGACTGATGAAGCCTGAGCTATGTGCATAGCACAAATTGATTCAAGCTCTCAAATTCCCCTGGCCAGAGGAAGAGAAAATCGCTTGTTCAAACGACCATGACGTAACGACTTTGGTTATGTGATACAAACAGCGCACACATTTGGAGTTAGTTCTCTTGGCCTCATTGCCAAACAAATGACTCATCCACCTTTCTGTTTGACCGTATTGGAATTGTCT